TTCATGCTTCACTCTGGAATTTTTATGGCTTGTTTTTGCAGTCAAGAATTACGCACTGTCCCCATTAAGGTATACATGCCACCTCTGCAGGTCCTGCGCCGGGCAGCTGTAGAAGTTTGCAGTTCAGTGGCACTGGGAACACGTCTATCTCACTTAACTTGTGTTATTACGATGGCACACATGAACTTCACGTGCAGATCATGTGGCACCGTGTCAGTACATAAGAACTTTATGTATGTTAAGGACACGCACACAAACATGCAGTCCGGTGTTTTGGCGGCTGTACACATGGTTTCCGTGATTTCGTGACCTTCACGTGTAATGCGCGTAATTCAGTTTCCCATGCGGTAGTGTAAATGTGTCTGTAATTCATCCCGGCATACAGAGAGGTGTCGCCGTGTGTCTGTGCTGTGAACTGTTGCAGTCTGGGGGTGCGTGTGGGGCTGGGGGGTGCTTTTGTGAGGGGCTCGCCTCTGTCAGTGTGAAAGTGGTTGCCATGGCACTGTTTACAAACACATTTGTTCCCGGGTCTTTCTCGAGGCCCAAGCCCATATGAGTGGTATTGACTGAGGATCGAACCCGCATTACTCCGTTTGGTAGCTAATGCACTTCTGATGATGCTGAAGAGGACGGAAAACAAAAAGCGGGGGGAAAAAAGAAAAGCGAGGGAAGAAAAGACAGCTACTGTGTTGCCGTAACAAAGGAGAATATTTCTATAGAAGGGAAAATACACTCCTAGAGAAGAAATCAATTAAACGTAACCCCAAGATCTTGCTCCGAGTTTATAAAAGGAAAAGGACCTTTTATAGTTTAAAAACAAACGTGAGTGAATAGACAGCCCACGTCTGGCAGAGATGCAGGCCGAGGCGAGCGAGCGTGGCATGGGTGTCGTCCGATGCATGATGGGGGATGGGTGGTGGGGGGGGTGGGTTCAGTTCAGTTAAATGAACCTGGATGCACGTGCTGACCACTGGGGGTCGATTCAGTCTCAGGGACAGTGAATCTGAGGGTAGCTGTTTGGACTATTGAGGGGTGAAGGTTTCAGTGCTGGGCAGTGAATGCTTGGAAAAAAGACGAAAGCAGGCTGGTTAGATTTCTTATTGTACACCGGTGAGGGTGGGTGTTCGGATCAGTGAGGCCTGTGGAGGCTGGAAATGTAGCTCAATTAGCGGATAATGGTGAACTGGAGCATAAGGGGAATAAGCACACCTTGCGTTTCAATGTGCTTAAAGCTCCACGTTAAAAATCCAATTGCAGGTCCTGAATGTCTGGAACCCAAAGCCCACGTGCTTAAACACGGCTGTCTATCCAAAGCAGCCCACAGGAAGACGACTTGACATATTCAGTGTATTTGCCCTGAACCTGATACCTTCTATAGTCCCTGAATCCTTCCTCAAACTTCCAGACCAGCCAGCCCATCGCGTCTCATTTTTTTCCGGGATATTTAAATCAGGAGGAAAGGAGATCCGGAGGACTGGCCTGAGATGTTGTGTGCGCTCAGGTAATTGCATTTACACGTTAAACCCTAATTAGCGCATTCCAGAGGGAAACAGAGGCAGATGCTAATTAAGCACCGTCAGTGCTAGTCACATGCTTTGCAGAAGGGCTTCACCCCTGTGCAGTGAAAGGTAAGTGTGTATTCACCAAGGCTGTGGCAATACTGGGGCCATGGTTCCGCGGCGAGCGTGCCGGGGCTGTGGGGGCGCGGCCTGGAGAATGCGATTCTGCCCCTGCTCCTTTTGCGGGTTGTAACTGGACGATCGCATGTTCCTTATGACCACTGAAGCACGCTTGTCGTCCACAGCTGTGCAGGTTGGTGCGCGCGTGTGCGCTCACGGAATGCGACTATGCTGGTCTGGGAAGCCCCGGAGGTGACTGATGCCCTTCGGCCGGGATGGCGGCCCTTTCCCTTTGAACTCTGACCTCTGCGTGACCCCTGGGGGCAGAGATTCCCGCGGCCACCCCCTTTTGTCCTCTGTGCGTAGTAGCTAATCCGGCATGAGGTTTGAATGAGCCCAGCTAATGCGTGGTTACAGTACTAATTCACTGCCCCACTGTTAATGTCTGTTCTAATTAAGGCTGTACCGTGGCTGAGTCTGGTTCTTATTACGCACTACCGCGCCCCTCCCCCTGCGTGTGGGGCAGGGGTATGGGGAGGAGGGGGGGGGATTACCCCAAGGTTCACTTTAATTGTTTTCCTCCTTGAAGTGCGGAGGGGGGGCGGAGCATGCTAATTCCGGCAGGGAGTCGCTGTGGTAGTGAGGGACTTTGGGGGGGGGGGGGGCTTACAATGGCAGGGTCCCGGCCATTGATTTAAACCATACCTCCCAGCATTCCTGCACAACGCACAATGGGGCTCATTATCCGAGCCGCCCGACTCCCCCCCCCCCAACAAAGGCCCTTTCACCCGCTCTCCTCCAGGCCGACCCGGTCCAAGTCGCTCCTCACCCAGCCAGGGCATCCGGCTGCGGCTTCACACCTCTCGTGCTCACGCACACATGCTCTTTCGCTGGTGATCGGGTGTGCACACTTGCACACACACATGCACACAAGGACGCAGGTGGATACCCCAAGCAGCGTTGCCCAGAACAGGAGACGGAAACCCATCAGCCTTCTGGTGTTCTGATGAACCGATGTCATTTATATGCGGCAAATTGTCAATGTGAAAATTCTGTTGGACCCAGTGGGGTTACATGAGGCACACCTAAGAAAAGTTGGGTTCCTCAGGACATAGACTGGGGGTCAGATGGCGGGGGTATCTCATTAGCTGATTTATTATGATCTAAACCCTGCCAGACTTATGCATGCACACATGACCACGTGTGAGGGTGTGCATATAACAGCCGACGATCTGGCTGTGCATGAAGTCCATCACGCCATTTCTCCACCGTCCAGTTCCATCGCCATGTGTCTGGTATCTCATCCTTAATTAAAACCATCCCCAGCTGTCTTAATTACAATAATTAGGGCCGACTTCCTTTTAAATTGTGCCTCAGACTGAGCCGACGGTCTACGAATGATGCTGTTTTTTAACGAGGTCATTAGTCTGTGTCCACCGATCTCGTGCGGGCGCCCTTTCTCCGTGGTGGGCAGTCTTATTGTGAGGTCACTTCCTGTGGTCCTTGCGGCGTCAGTTTTGCTGGCCTCCGCTATGCCTGTTGGGAAGTGTGTGTGAGTGCAGTGGAGCTTCAGCAGGTAAGATGGGAGGGGGGAGGAGTTCCACCCCCTGCCCTGGATGAGGCGGGCCACGGGTTCTTACTAGATTAGAGTAATTAGAGACGCTCAGTGTCAGTGCTAATCACCCCTGCAGCCTAATTACGGCAGCCTGCTTGTACTGCTGCGGCATCGCTGCTTATCACGGCTTTCATCTTAACCTGCCCCCCTCTCTCTCTCTAATGATACCAGTGTCACTAAGGGTGTGCATTTTACCTCCCCCCCCCACCCTGGCATCTCTCTCTATAATGACACCGCCCTCGGAAAAGGTGCTCACCATAACCTGTCTCTCCACCTCTCTGTGTAATGGCCGCAGGGACGGCGTGGTCGGAGCAGTCGGCGAGGCGATGTGCGTGTTTAGTAACGTCTGCCTTGCCTGTTGTGTCTGGCAGGTACTGCAGGCCGAGTGTGGAGCTGAGGACGAATGAAGACCGGGGAGCCTGAGGACTGGTAGGCCTGGGGGATTGTCCTGCACTGGGGTGTGTCCTCACATCTTAATGGCCCTAAAGCAAGGTGCCACTGGGCATTCTGGTACCATCAGGTGTCATACTGGTGCATAAAGACATTATAATGGTCCATTCTGTAATTTATCTGGTCCAAAATGGTGTCAAACTGGTCCATACTTATGTCATACTGATACACGCAAAACATTTAGTGGTCCTATGGTTGACTGGTCCATAGTAGCGTCAAACTAGTCCCTATTTATGTCTTATTGGTGCATGCAAAGAGTATACTGGTACAATCTGTGGTTAGAAAGGTCCATAGTCATGTCAGACTGGAACCTATTTGTGTCTTACTGGTTTATGCAAAGAGTTAAATGGTCCAACCTGTGGTTAGACTGGCCCTCAGCAATGTCAAACTAGTCCCTATTTATGTCTTACTGGTACACGCAAAGAGTATAATGGTCCACTCTATGGTTAGACTGGTATAGCA